CTAGGTTGGATTCAAATCCGGGTGTCCCATGATATTAAAATTGAGCCAATACAGATTTTCATGGCCGATAATGGACAAATGTCTGACATTAAAATGTAATAGTATTTTTATAATTAATTATAAATAAAAGAAAATGTAAATCAGTTGTTAAAATGGTACAAGTGGTTTAAGGCACCACAATATTACAATGTAAAAAATAAATATTTAAATATTTATTACAGATTTAACATTGCAGTGTTATTAAATTAATAGTGTTTTTAAAGGGGTCCTATTATGCTCTTTTACAAAGTCTTGATTTTGTTTTGGGGGTGTACTAGAACAGGCTCTCATACTAGGTTGTATTTTTCACATATTTTACATTATTACGGGGTTATAATGCTCAGGGACAGAGTTAAAAAATAAATTGCAACCACTGTTTCCTGACATCATCCGCTTTCGGAAGCCAAAACAGACAGACGTTGGGCACGGAGGTGAAAAAAACAGCGTTTCAGGTGGTCGCACACTGGACGAGAAGTGCAGCGTCGCGTCGCGCCACGTCTTTAAAATTCGAACACATTATTTTCTATAAGTGTAGGCACACAGGCGGTGCCGTTCGGCGTCTGTCCGTGGCGCCCAGCTACATCGTGTTGTACTTGTAAGAATTGTTCTAGACGCGGCGCTACGCTTCTCGTCCAGTGCGTGTCCGCCTCATTCCAAAACGCTACAGCACAGCAGCTTTTTCTTCTTCGTTTTCTCTGATCTCTGCAGCAGCACTTCTTCTTCGTCGTCTCGTCTGATGCACTCAAACAAGCATTCTCGCCCCTCCCCACCCCCCAACCATTCTAATTTCTGTAGGTGGGAATTATTTTATTGATATTCTAATGGGCCGCTTTGTGACATCACAAAACCCGGCAAACAACGATGTAGTCCAAACGAGCCATTGTTTGTAGTTCTTCAAAAAGGGATTTTTAAAAAAACTAAATATCTCCCTTTGGAGTGGACTTTGAGATTTGTAACTTTGTAGATCTTTTTTATGCCCAAACATACACACTGACTAAAATAAAAAAAAGTGAAAAAGCATAATAGGACCCCTTTAAAGATTAACTGAGCATTAGTAGATAATGGCAAAGGGAATCTGAATGCAGAAATAGAGGAAATGAGCATGAACAATTCATAATTAAATCATTCAATATATATCCAGTATTATTGACCATTACCAATTAATTAAAAAATCTCTATTAGCCAATATTTCGATACCACATTGTTATTGTGCATCCCAATCATTCAGAGTTTAAATGGGAAAAATGGACATCAGCTGGAACAGTGTATCAGTTTCGCTTGTTAACTGTGAAAATGAATCCCATAGCAGCTCTAGCAGCATTTGCATGAGTATTTGTGTTATTGATTTATTCCTGAATCTCTGCACAGCTTGTATACAGAGAAAGAAACAGAGTGAATATATCATTATTGATGTGATTCTTAATGTCTTCATTTATGCCAAGTACACAGTAGCAGATGTGATATTTGCATATAGTGGCATATTCTGTGGTGATTAGCAGGTTTAGCTATATTAAGAATGTAAAACATGGCTACTACGAATGCTATTAAATATTCTCTCCTAATCTCCTAATCATCTTTGTCTTGTTTTCCAGTACAAAATTACTCAGAAAAATCATTTTTCCTAAGAAGCAAAATTGCAAAAGCATTTTTTGTAGTAGTTTTAAGCATAAACTTCACTGAATTTTGTTGAAGCGTCAGGTAAATTTATTTTGTTTATTGATAAACATTATTACTGGAAAACAAAGATAAAGAACCAGATTTTTTCAGCAGCAACAATCAAAGGTAAAGAACTGGATACTATAGCAACAAACCCCTTTAATTCCCCATTGATTCACTCAGGCAGTAACTGTATTATATAGATTCTTCAGTGGCTGTGTTGTGTTGTGGCAGATGTCTGGTTCACACCTGTCCACCAACAGCACTTTTTACACACAGAATCTCACACAAGCGTGAAATATGCGAACCTGACAGAAATTTGATTAACATAACTGCGCATAACTCTGGCCCTGACAGTCTTCTCAAATTTAGCATGGATGCATAAATCTGTATAGATTTTCCTTCAGCCGCTTTTGCTCCAGACATAGTACAGAGCTTACTTGCTGGTGCGTCAAAAGCTTTTCGACATTACAGAGCCTTTCTCTAATGTTATGTTCCTCTAGGGCAAGAGTTCAGTCCCGGCTGTGAACCGTCTAAATATAACATCCAATATCCCAGCTGTCCCATAGTGCCTCAAGTGAGGGTATTCATTTACTACAGAGCAGCCCGGGGCTTCCAGGTCTTTTATATGAGACTTTAATATATATTTTTTTTTTCGTTTATTGTCTGCTTGATAGTAGAAAGAAGAACAAGTCACAAGGCAATCTTATTTAAGCTTACAGTCACTTTATCTTATTGACTAGAATAGATGAGCACATTTCAAGGAAGCTTATTGTCCTGATGAGATGTTAATATAAGGTTTTTTTCTTCAGTCAGTATAGGTAGAAAATATGCACATACCTTTAAATTAATAATAGAACATCATCCTAAAAGTGTCTGTCAATACACTGAAATAAGTGTTTTATACACCTTTATACATCTTAATAAATCACAAAATAATTTAGGAGAGAAAAATCCAATTAATGACCTCACACAGCACTGCTGAAATGACAGATAATATATCTGCAGTGCTTTAATGACAATTTCATTCATGTGTGAAAGACACTGGTTTTATTGCCACATTCAGAGCGTTATATTAATTACTGTCAGTCCACGGCTACAGGTTTGTAAATGAATTCTTCATATTTTATTGTTAGAATTAAAACTGATATTAGACGCACATCAGCAATTAACATCTGCATTTTGTGATTTTTCTTTTCCTATGAGATGTCAAGGCCTCTTTGTGAGTTTTTTCTTTTGAATGCTTCAGAGCTCATGGCTGTGCTGTCAGCACTATTCTCAGATGGCATCTATGCAAATTTATGACAGTGATGAGTGCAGCATAATCAGATTCTGAGGTACTGAAGCATCAAAGGAGATGGAAACGATGTGGAAGAGGCAATTAAGAGCTTATAACAAATCAATCAAAACACCTGTTTTTAATCCTAAGGGACATCTGTATATAAACAATATAACAAATCAATCAAAACACCTGTTTTTAATCCTAAGGGACATCTGTATATAAACAATATAACAAATCAATCAAAACACCTGTTTTTAATCCTAAGAGACGTCTGTATATAAACAATAGCTGGGGCAAACAGCTGATTAATATATTTAAAAGTATGTTTATTCAACAATGAATGCACAGCCATCAGCATTCATTCAAATGTATTAATTTTACAATTATGTCTTTGATTTGATACACTGCAAAAAATCATGTTCTTATTCACTATATTCTGTCTTGTTTTCCAGTAAAAATATCTGAATATCCTAAAAACAAGATACAGTGCCATCCAAATGTTTGGGGTCAGTTATGTTGTTTTTAAAAAGTCTCTTATGCTCCCGAAAGCTGCATTTATTTGATCAAAAATATAGTAAAAACAATAAAATTGTGAAATATTTTTACAATTTAAAATAACTTTTCTATTTTAATAATAATAATTTAAATGTAATTTATTCCTGTGATGATGACAAAGCTGAATTTTCAGCATCATTACTCCAGTCTTCAGTGTCACATGATCCTTCGGAAATCATTCTAATTTGCTGATTTGGTGCTCAAGAAACATTTCTTATTATTATCAATGTTGAAAAGAATACTGCTTAATATTTTTGTGGAAACCGTGATACATTTCAGGATGATACATTTCATAGAAAGTTCAAAAGAACAGCATTTATTTGAAATTGCAATTTTCTGTAACATTATAAATGTCTCTTTTTTTATCAATTTAATCTGTCCTTGCTGAATAATAATAATCATTATTAATAATAATAATAATAGTAATCATTTCTTTCAAAACCAAAAATCTTTCTTACTTATCCCAAACATTTGAACAGTAGTGTACATTTACCTTAAAAGCGAAATCATGTAAGAAAATATTTTTATTTACTTTTTTCTTTACTCTTTACTCTAAATCAAGTAGTATATTTTCTTGTAAATCCAAAACATAAGTGTAAAATTGGTTTATGTGAGATTAACAAGAAACAAAATTATTATCGTTCAAAATATTTTACAGTTTATTCTTAAAACAATAAAAACCGCACAAACAAAATGCAAAAAAATGGCAAAAGGGTATAAAAAAGAAAGATATAAAATAAGATATATTTTCTGAAATCAAACCTTGTTATCTAACACAGTTTGACTCGTCTGTTATGTGCTGTTATTTATTTACCAGCTGCAGTGTGTGGGGTCATCCACGGATACATAAGCTCCTTTTCTACTTCACACACACACACACACACACACACACACACACAAAGGAATCTAAAAGATTGATTGTGCTTGTTTCCGATTCGGAGCCCTGCAGCGAGGAGTTCAGGTGTTAATGTGAATTGATGCGTCTAATTGCTGTCCTCTGTGAGCCCCTCTGGTCTGGGGGGCACCGGTTCTCTCTAGGGGGATGGGGGTTGACTGCACGGCACACGAAGGAGCGGAGAATCGGGAATTGTAATTCTCATTTTCTTCCCTTTGTGTTCTATCTCCCTCTCTGCTCCAGCTGCAGTGCAGAGATTGCAGCCGAGTCTCCCGTCCGATTGTCGCGTGAGCACAATGACGTCACTAACATCACCGCTCCCCAGCCCAGCCATCCATCTGCCTGCGGAGAGGAGGCTTGCACCGAGCCCGCAGGACAGCGGGGGAAAGCGGCGACAGAATGCGTAAGGAATGCTCCCGTCTCACGCACACACACACCTCTGAATGAGGACAGCGGCAACTGTCATGCATGTACGGGAGCGTGATCAGGGTGCACAGGAGGCTGAGGTTGCAGAGGAATCTGCACGGTAGAGGCGACTGCAAATATGCAGTGGAGCGCACAGAGCAGCAGCTAAGAGCAACACGCAGGGAGGATTAGAGCATGGTTTCATGGTGGTAACTGCTTTGCATTCCTTCTTTGTGTCAGGTTGTGTGTTGATGCTCACTGTGTCCTGCCCCTGTTGCTTGAGATACCGGCCTGCTCTTCATTGCGCCACATTCATTCACGCTATATGACTGGCTGTATGTTTTTAAGGTTAAGGGTGATATCGAGGAATGCTGGCATTCATGTGCAATGTTGCTATGATTCATTGGTCAGCCATTGCGCACAGATGCTTCTTCTGTCTCTGCATTTCTGTCTTTAATTAAGATAACAGATGCCTTATTAATTATTCTGTACGTCACCTGAAGCCACTGTGTCTTGTTTCTCGTGCATTGATTACACTTGAGAACCTAATGCTCTCGAGCAACCTTTTGAGGGTTTTACGCCATAGATGTGTGTTTGTAGCAAATGCAACTGTAACACGCCATGTACTGACTTAGAAACGTCATTTTGAAATCGCTTTCTGGTGTTTCAGAGGTTTAAATGGTGAAAGGTTTTCAACTCTCATTTGAAGCAGATGTGGTCAGTGTGGTCAAACCCAGCTGACTTCCACAATGTGACAGATTTTTGAAACCAATTTAAACTGGTAAATAAAGCGATTGACTAGATTGTATACTTTATTGGATCCCAAAAAGTCTCAAAAAGATGATGATATTGGTGATTTTAACCAAAAAGGATAGTTGTGTGAGGAAGTGTAGCTATTTCGTTTCATAGTTGTCCCAACCTGTTTTTGTTTGTACTTTAATGGACAAAAAACAATGAGACATTTCTCAAAATGTTATATTTTATGTTCCACAGAAAAAAAAGTAAGTCATACAGGTTTGGGAGCAACATGGGGTTGAGTAAATGATGACAGAATATCAATTTTTGGTTGAATTGTCCTGTTAATTGGCCAGACTGTTAAGGCCTGATTTGAAAGGACTGGGTTTCCGAATCATTTCTGTTGAGAAAATAGATGCATTGTTGTATGTCATTGGAGTCCGTCAATAGACTTTTTAATAAACAGTAAATGGGCATGAAAAGCCAGAGCAAATAATTTTCCACTTACCACCACAATATATTAAAAGCTTTGGTAATATAACACCCTCTGGATGTACCGGAATGCAGTGCCTCTGATCGATGTCTGAAACAGTTAGTGGTTCCATTAATTCTCATATGTGCTTAAGGATTAAATCTGCCTTCATGAGGTTTTACACTGTTAAACTCTCCCCTTACACACACACACACACACACATTTCAGACCAGTGCTCTGCCATGTGCACTGTTGAGTGACAGATCTCCATCCTATCAGCAGGTTTCTGGAGCGGGCTGTAGACGCTCCAGCTCAGATGCGGCCTATGAGCTGGCTGAGTCAGTGAGGGCCCAGCGTGAGTGCCGCCTACGGCCCCACTACAGTGACCCCATGCCTGCAGACGCCACCAAGCGTAAGCAGCTGGAGATGAAGATCGCCGCCGCCGCACGTTTGCACATTCACCGCAGAGACAGGGACAGTGGTAAGACTCTTTCAACTGCACTACGTTTTGCTCACAGTTCTTGCTGTAAGTAAACTTAACTCATGTCCTAGTTTTGTTCTGACAATACTTCATTTAAAACAATTTTTAGGCTTGTCTGTAACCTAAGGGTATCACTTTAGTTGTTATTATGAGACTATATGCTATTACTAAGGCCTGGCCTTAGGTGGCTTTTACTGTTGGTCCGTCACATGCATGACCTCTGCCCTGAGGACTGCTTTTATCTTTCTATACCGCAGCATCCATACTCAGTGTCTGTCAGAGGTGTAAAGAGTACCTAAAAACCATAAAGCTAGGTCCATGCAAAATGTAATGTGTAACTGCAACACTCATTTCAAATGTAGTGGAGTAAAGAGTAAAAGTTGCTAATATCTTTGATACTCAGTACAACTACAAAGTACCCGAAAAGATACTCAAGTACAGTAACTAATTACATTTACTCCAATACTTCACACCTCTGGTGTCTGTACTTTGTTTTGTTGTTTTTAGACTTAAAGGCAATTATCAAATGCATATCTAGTATCAAATTAGGAGTGCACAGTATACTGTATCAGCACCATATTGGTTATTTTCCAGTTTGTCATTTTTTAAATGTATTGGTATTACCAAACATCGAAATATTGTTTGTGGCTTTTTTAAGATTTAGATCATCACATAGCACTAACTTAAAAGGAGTAGTAATAGATTATGTCAAATACTTAACTGTCTGAGCTGTCCCAGAGCACCACCCTCAACCATTATGAGAAGTTATGCTATTTTATTTCAAACAGGATAATTTGTTATAGCAAAAAGAACTTTCATAATTTTCTTTTTTTAAGTATAGGTTTTAAAAAGTATTGATTTATCATATCTGTCATCAGTTTTTATAACATGAAAATAATTTGGCGATTTCTATTTATGTTACACTTTATTTTAAGGTGCCCTTTTTACAGTGTAATTATACATATAAGTACTGAGTAATATTAATTAACTACATGTACTTACTATATGGTTAGGATTTGGGTTTGGCTTAGGGTTACTTGCATGTAATTATGCATAATTAATTGTTATTATAATAGTAAGTACATGTGTAACAAGGACACCTTAAAATAAAGTGTTACCTCTATTTACACTGCAAATAGCCAACCTTACCAACTCTGCCCACCATTTCTCAGTTATTTTAACTCTTAGTGTAAACATGATACTATTTGTTTAGTGTGCATTATGCTTCTTATTCGCTATATCCTTTCTGACCACACATTTCGCCGTTCAGTTTCCTGTTCTATCCTTCTAATCTGTGACCTTTAAAACAGCTTCTAAACTGGTTTATGTTACATGATGATTATTAGTTACGTTGCCCTTTCCGATCGTATCACACACCACTCTCCCCTGGGTCCTAATGTCCCACTACCACATATAACTTAATGGGGTTGTTTTGAAGTTCAAAACACTTCAAATGCATTGTGTTATATAATAAAATATTTAAGTGAATTTAAACAGAAATTTTTCTGTTCTTATGGTCTCTTTTTGTTTTACCTCTACTGTTCCAATGTATGATCTTTTTTTTTTTTTACTTTTTTGATAATCACTATATCATTAATGTAACTATTGTTATGAAATTCTGAGAGCTGATCTTCAGAGATTTGTTTGTTCTTTGTCATCACTGCCAGGCACAGCCAGGGGCCGCTCGGAGCCCAGAGGTGAGGAAAGAAATGTTGCATGAGCACCAAATCAGCATATTAGAATAATTTCTGAAGGATCATGTGACACTGAAAAGTAATGGTAATGGTAAACCTAAATTAAACCGTGACTGTCTCCATACAGGGCTATGAGGACCTGCAGACTGTGTGCATTGGAGAAATCTTCTTGGAGTTTGTCAACATGCTTCCAGCGTTTCAGACCTACTGCCTGCTGCAGTCCACATCTGTGAACATGCTCAACACACTGGAGAAAGAAAAAGAGCTTCTTAGGTACACATAATATATACTTTAACTGCCTTGCCACTGTCATTCAGTGTTACAAATAAAGATAGTTAAGCATCAGCAGTGTAAGTGTGCATGCACAAACTCAAGTTAGTAGGTCTGTTCAAATATAATCCTAACCAGAGCTCAACAGTAAGATTTGTTTTACCAGTAGTTCAGATTTGTACATGCACTATTAATAGTTTCACTGGCCCAACCATGAAGAAAAGTATTAATATATATTGTGTGTGTGTGTGTATTTATTTATTTAAAAAATTTATTTTTATACATGTAAGAAAGAACTTTTTTTATTTCTATTTTTAATTAAATGTTAAGTGTTTTTTTCTTTGGCAAGTTTTTTATTAGGTTATTATTTTTCAATAGTAATAGGAAATTATACAGCCATAATTAAAAAAATAATCATTTTTGCTAGAAAACAAAGGCATTATGTGATTGTTCATTTTACCTACATCCTACATACACCATGCTATCTAGCTAGATACATTGATGACATATTTAAATCAGCACCAAAAATGTATACCCACAACGTTCAATGCATCACAGAATGTTTAAGTTTACAGTGCGTAGCTCAGAACTCTTGCATACTGGCCCCTGGGCCATCTAGCCATCTTTTTTTTTTTTTGGCAATCAGATTTGTAGCAAACTGTTCTGAAATCTCCTAAAGAGTCTTCATTCATGAATTTACAGAGCTTTGTTGTGAGAAGAGCTGAAAAAGAAGTGATACAGTCCCCAATTTTGGATCCTTAGTAAATATTACCAATCTTATGTATACAATATATGATTCACAAGTTGAAAGTATATGAAAGTTTGCTCCTTTACATCCCTCAGGATATTCCTCGATGTGTCCCAGAATGACAACACGGCACTCAGGCGCATGAACCTGCGCTCCTTCCTCATGGCCCCCCTGCAGCGTGTGACCAAGTACCCATTACTGCTAAGTCGCATCAGCAAGGCCACCAACGAGTGTCACCCGGACTACTCCCGCTTAAAAGAAGCCAAGAGCCGCGTGGAGTCCCATCTAGAGCACATCAACATGAAGACCAAACAGGAAGGGACCGCCACATGGTCCTTGCGCTCTTTCCGGCGCGACAGCCGCAAGAACCGAGAAGTCATCAACATTGAGATGAGAGAGCTGTCGATGAAGACGGTGGGCTGGACACGAGAGAGCACACGGTTTATCATGGAGGGGCCGCTCCAGTTGGCACAGCCCGCCGATGGCCAATGGCATAAGAAGGGAAGCAAATCCCTCAAATTCCAGAACGTTCAGAGTTTACTTATGGTACGCACTCTGCGCAACACAGAAACGGTGACTGAAGGGAGTCTGGAGACCTCGGAGACGGTGCAGGACAGTGTACTGGTGCTCATCAAGGACAAGAGCAGCGGGAAGTTCACTGTGTTACGGGAGCCAATCCATTTGGCAAACTGCGTGGTGTCCACCGACCCCGACTGTGAAGACACCTTTGAGGTGCTGGACATTCGACGTGAGGCCTTCGTTTTCCGTGCCTCCGACAAACCTCGCACTCAGCAGTGGTTTCGCCAGATCAAGAGATACGCTTGTGATTTGGGATCCTGGAGAAAGAGACGCAATGCTCTCCCTAATATCATGATTAACACAACCCAGAGCCGGTCCTGAGACTGAGTCCTTAGCGACACATCCCTCATCCCTTCCCAGCATAACTCTGATGTAAATAATAATAATTAAAAAAATCAATATTTTGTTGAGCAAACAGTATTTGTGTGGGAGAACCATCCACCAATTGACTTTTAAATTGGTAGGTATTAATATAGACTGCAAGAGGGCACTTTGTATGAGTGGAAAGCAAGTTAATGACGTTTGGGAAGAGGAAAAATCCACTGTCAAGCAAAAAGTAAATGCCCTTTGGCATACCAAAATGAGGTCCTTGTTTGGCGCCTCACTGCTGCACTTGTTTAAAACACTGATTGTACAACCAGTTTGCCACTGAGAAATGTTCTCAGTTGTGAAATGGTTTTTGTGATAAGCATGAGGGAACATGTTTGTGATTGGATGGACTTTATATGGACTTTTTAGTATGCACAACGGAGTGGAAACCTGTGTTTTGTGTGAAGACTGAGGTAAAGCTGTTTTGTTTTCGGATCATTGTAATTCCCTCTTCCTTTCTCTCTCTCTTCCGTTAGCATCTATTCCCACTGCCATTCGGGAGCAGTTCTCATTTTTGTATCACTGTACTGGTTTTCAAAACAGCAATAATCTTCATTGTATTATGTAGCAGTCAAGCTGTTTTTATTCACAGGTACCCATATTCTTGTGATCAGTGATGTAACAAACATTTTTTGGTATACGTTTTCTGCACAATCTAATGAGGGTGTAGCATCAGTCTAAGCATCAAGTATTGTCATTGCCACATTAATGGTTGTGCTGAAAACATCTGTGGCCATGAACCAGATCTTCAATTAGAAAATGTTGATTAGATGCCCCGCCCCCAACCCCCAATTTTGCTTTCCTTTGATCTCTGAGGGGGAGAAAATATGTGCCTTTGTTTATTTGATACTGAATGATACCTTAGTACTATTTTGTTCAAGTTTTTCCTCCACTTTTACCCACAAATTAGGCCTTATGTCAAATTGAGAAAAAGATCTACAATTTTTCTGTAGCTGCTATTATATTCTGATTTCCCCACTGATATACAGACTGTGCTTTATGATAACTTGTTAAATTTTAACTGTTTTTGTTTGATGCACTTTAATATGAAGGTCCTAAACTGGAGCAAGGACATTGTTCTGCAGTTTACAAAGCTTTACTGTACTTTGTTTTAAAGATTGCTTTAACTTTAAGAGAAAATGAACAGTTGACATCAGCAATAGCAATCAATCACAGTCTTTCTGGTCTCTCTATATGTTTAAAGTCAATACTGATGGATAGAAATTGATTTCGGCATTTAGGTTTCAACATTAATATTTACTGTTTTTTTTTCCAATGGCATTGATACTGTTAAAAATATCATACCGTAGCTTCCACATTACACAACAAAAAGATGAGTTGAACCTGCCAGGACTGAAAAATTGTACTTTTAACTGAGACCAATCAAGCTGTTAAATACTTTTTTCCATTCTTAATAATCCTAATTTAATATTTTTTGTTGTGTAAAATATTGTGAATTGCAATTAAAAATGACAAGTATCCATCTCTCTCAACTGACTCCATATTTTCTGAGAACATTATTCCCAATGCTTAATCTTTATTACATAACATTACTGAACAAGCAAATGCTTTCCCAGTGAAAAGAGAAAGTCGCAAGTTGAACCACCACATGAACACAGGCATTTCAAATGCAAATACGCAACAAAAAAAAAAAAAGTTTACGAAATCTCTCTGAGAAATCTGTCTTCAGGGAGAAACAAAGAACACAAAGCATTATTGCAGAGAGAATTTCTTTTAAACCATTTTAAGTAAAAGCCCCCCAAAAACACTGAAAGAGCAGTTAAAACATTCACCCACAAAGAAGCCACAACAAGAAGGGCAATCAAAAGAAGTCAATGCACTGAGAATCCACAAACAATAGGGAGGACCGTAAAGTTGCCATAAAACTTTACAAAGGAAAACAAATGCACTGTCAGTTTGTCCTTTGAAAACATTTGTTTGGAAGGTTTTAGTGTTATTTTTCCAAAGCTCTTCTCGATAGGACACTATCTGCAGGTGGAGTTCAGCATGCAACAACGTAAGATTCAGAACAGAAGGAAAGAAACATGAACCGAAAAGCAGAAGTGATAAACTAGAGTTCAAATATGCGAAGCAAGAAATTACTTTGATCTCATGTATTTATCCACAAATGAACATTCTATCATCTTTTACTCATCCTCATGTCATTCCAAGCCGGTGTAACTTTCTTCTGTGCATCACAAATTCAGAGAATTCGAAGAATATTTCCACTGTTTATGTCCATATAATGAAAGTCAATGGGGTCCAAAATGACCCTTTTGACTTTGATTGTATGGACAAAAAATATTGTCTTCCCCAGAATAAAGTAAGTCAAACAGGTTTGGAGCGACATGAGGGTGAGTAAATGATAACAGAACTTTTTTTGGATGAACTGTCCTTTTAAAGAAGAAATACATGAAAGTGTAAATATGTACCAACAGCAAACCAGTGGTTTAAGAAACCACAAGATGATTTACAGATTCAATATGTATTTGCAGTATGAAACTAAACATTTTGGCAAAGATTTATCAATTTTATCTTCATGTATACCTTTAGCAAGATACTATTAACGTGATTTAATCATAGTTACATTCAAGAAAGGTGTTTGGGTACAAAACCCAATTTAATTAATCAATAAGCATAGGTTATGTCAAATGTAATATTTACGTAGTTCAACATCAAGAAAACGTTTTGATGTCTTGACTGGACAAGCCACAAAACAGGCACAGAACTTTTGTTTTTAACAGCATTCTTAAATATGTTTTATGAAAACACCCAAAAATATTTTCTTCCTTCTTGTTTGACTGTACAATGATTCACAAGAGCGATAGCCAAGACAAAAACATCAATTATAGTAAAAAAGCATCCAATCCAAAAAAAAAACCAGGCAAACAAATGCATCTGTACATAAGAATCTCTCAACAAAAGTGAGAAAGAGAAGATCTCCCCTCTAAAACCTGAACTGATCTCTGTCATGGTGGGCAGGTGGTTTAAATAACACTGCCCAAGGCTGCTGGGGCTTCAAAACCTCCATTCCCTCCCCTCTTCCTCCGACCACTGCTCGCTGACAGGTTTAACCACTCTTCCAGTCATGGAGAATCCCAGCCAGGGTAGTGCCCCGCGGCCTCTTGTGTTTCCACACCGCCTCTACTTATCTCCTACAGCCTCCTGCTCCTTGGCAAGGCCTCGGATGGAAAGATCGTATACCACCTCCTCAATCTTCTTCACATCGTACTTGAGGCCATCGTAGCGCTTGCGAAGAGGGTCGTTTTTTAAGTTGAGCAACCGAAAGCCAGAGTCAAGTTCATTGATGAAGTTTGAGATCCTAAGCGGACGTCCATAGTCCCCTGCGGTCACGCTGTTCACTGCCAGCCTGGACTAAACGGAAAAAGATGCAAAAGGTACATTGTGCTTTTAATTTGATTCACATTCTTTCCACTCTTGTCAAAGTTTATTTCACATCAAAAAGACAAAACAAAATCCACAATAATGCCCAAAAATATAAAAAATGAATACCCTAACATTATTAGTGGGATGCATGACTTGAAAATCTGAACACAAATAAGCTGAATTGTTGAACAAGTTGCCAATATAAGATGTTGACAAGCAATTAGTTTTGCTGCACAAAATTAACATTATGCAGTGCTTGCTTCAACAGCACATATACTACAATTAACATTATGTAATGGAAAGTGTTTGAATTAGGGGTGTTGCAATATACCAATACTGACTATAAACGGATATGATGAGATGCGCATGACAAACACATTCGATTTTTTGCACAGCCCTATTTCCTATGTAATGAAATCAGTCAAACAGTGGCTGTTTACTGAGAAGCCTTAAAGGACCCGCCCCTTAAAAATTGATAATTTCATAAAGATGGTCAGAATGAAGGTTGAAAATAAACATTTTTCTGCATATTATTTATTTATTTATTATAAGTGAACTTCAAGGAACATATTCAAATAAAATAATCCATGTCATGACCCCTTTAATGTTCATGTCAATGCAAATATTTAAATACAGTAGCACGTAAATTATTACAACTAAAGAGGGTTAGATTGGTAGTTTGAATACATTTGAGAAAAAAAAAAAACACTTACCAGCTCGCTGGCCATAATAAGAACTCCTGCTAGATAGTCTTCCACATCCAAATGAAACCCTTTTTCTCTGTTGACTTCAACTGCGTACGTGTAAAGTAGAATTAATCTACTACAGTCTCACACAAGTATTAAGATATAGGCCTATAAATAAACATGAACATTACATACTGGCAAGTATTTTTGCCACTTCCTCGCGTGTAACCAAAGACTCACTTTCCAGGTATACCACAAAAGCTGCAAGGAAGGCAAGTCGTTGAAGAACAAATCTCCAGTGTTCATGATACCTATGGAAAGGTGAGGATGTATCAGGCTTTAATATAATTATCAAGCCTAGAAGCATGATCATTCAATCACTAAGGGGAAAAAAATTGTGTAAGAGGCATTTACACTGACCGATAGTACTGTTCAACTGGGAACTTAGTTTTCAGCTCTCCAGTGTGGTTTCTTACAGTGCAGAACAGCTCTCTGGCCTTTAGACACTTGCTGGGAACTGGAGGAGGGAATGAAAACGTATTCTAACAGACATTATGTAGACCAAAAGACTTGGATCAAGTATTTTAACTTACTGTCTTTGAAACCACTTGGTTGATGGACACTTTGAAGAACAGTGAGGATCTCTCTCGCTGTCTGCTCCAGAACTTGGACAACTTTTCTTATGTCCTACAAGAAGAGCACAGAAAGATGAGCACAAATGGATTGAAAACAGCAAAATTCAAAAAGAGATCAGCAGAACATTCTGTCTAGACTTCAACATCTGTTGTACTTTATCATGTCTAGTTCATAACTCACAAATGTCCTGTGAACGCATTACTGAGAATGCTACTGATAAAGCAACACTATGCAGAGGTTCTGCGACAAGCGCATAACATTTCAAATGGACTTCACGTTGCTACATAACCTTTTTTTCAGGAAAGTTATTTTGCGTTTCCAAAAGCCAGTTTAGGTGTCAGTGCTGTTGTTTACCTCTCGAATATCTTGATCGGCACTCAAAAATCCTTGGACATAGCTAAACATCTCCGTTACAGACATCTTCAAATGTGCTGACGTGTGCGTCGCTCTTTACTGTGACCAGCTGCTCCAAATATACACTACTTAGACAACCTTAGGATGTAAACAGAGATTTATTAATTGTCGTGCTCGCGAACCAAACAGCCTGCAGTCATCAGCATGCACGTTAACATCTGTCCCTTCTTCTTCTTCTCTCGAGTTTTTTTGGCGGATTGGCAACCCAACGTTAAAGGTGCATGTCCGCCACCTACTGGTCTGGAGTGTGAAACGTACACGGTTCAGCTATGAATGATTAAACTATTATAGATTTTAAAAATAATAATAATAAAATAAACCAACATTTTTTACATAAATAAATACAAAATTCAAAGCTTCAAACTCTTTCCATTAATCTTGTCTTTTTTAAATACTTAAACAATTCTCCATATATTCTTGATTGCTGCGTTCAGCACCGACCCAACAAAAAACAAAACGCACAGACTAAATACGGGTGCGTCCGAAATCGCATACTACTTAGTAGGTACTGC